AACGCATGGTCCAACCGATTGAGCCCTGCTGCAGCAGGGGATAGTGCTCATGACACCGTCCAAAGCAGGGACCTGGTTGTGCAATCTGTAAACTGCAGGGTAAAAACCAGCATTCGTTTTGTCTTCCACACCGTAATACTGGAACTACTACTGCCTTGTCATTTTTGTCATCTGTGCGCATCAGAAGATACATCTGCATGTACCAAGGGTGGTAGACCATGTACCAAGGGCGGGTAGACCTGCTTTGTAGACCTAGCAGAGCTCTACCTTTGGAATAGATTGGCAACGTGGCCTTATGGATTTCATCTCACAATGGCGACATTTGAAAAATACATGTTTCTATTTACATTTCTTCCCAAAGGAGTTGTTTTTTAAAGTATATTGGGCTAGAGGACCATACAATAGATTTGAGTGCGTCTACCCTGTAGACAAGGTGCTTTGGGTAAATCCGATATCTTTTATTAAACCAACTCAAATAGTTGGAAAAATTCTTTGGAGCAAGCTTTTGGGTACAAACACCCTTCATTAGGCTGAGGAAGCATCTGCAGATGGTCGGTGCTCTTCCTGGATGGAGTGGTAAAGCAGCCAGAGGCTGGGTTTTTGGCTGTAGCTGTGTTGGTCTAAGGACACAGGCAGGCAAGGCTCTTTGGGTAGATGTGATATCTTTGATTAGACCAACTGAGTAGTTGGAAAAAAGTTCTTTGCAAGCTTTCAGGCACAAGCGCCCTTCTTCAGGCATCGGGAGACTCTGCTGTTGTTGTGAGATCTCCAAGGAATGAAAGAAGCTAAAAGTGTGCCAGGTGGTCAGTGAGAGTGTAATGAGGAGGAAAATGGTGGGAATTGTAGAAAGATCATATGAGAATCGCATAAAAGTGAGAAAAGGGCAACCCTTTGATTTTCACATGGATCGTTTCCTGACGTTTTGTGAAAACATGGATTTACTAAAAATATTCTTGCCTTGCCTTTTGATCCCATGAAAGCACAGAAGTCCAGCTCATCTGCCTGAGACCGTGAGCACTATCTAAGTAGAGTCAAAGCCCGGTCTAGCTGCTGTTTGCTGCCTGGTTGATGGGATGCTAGTGCATTAAAAGATGGAAACCATTTTCTTCCAGGTAGGAAGAGAGGTAGTGTTAGGATGACACAAGAGGGCACAGGGAGGGGTGGAAAGGGATACAATCGAATCAGTGGTAGGGTCTAGAGGTTTGTAAACCTCCTCCATGGAAGTGGCAGGACATTGGGAACTGAAGCCTTATGCAGCAGAGCGGCCAGAGGAGCCCCATGCTGCAGACCCTATGGAAACTTCTCTTCTCCTGGGATTATAGCACCCACTTTTTAATGAGCTAGACTTTTTCCCACTGGGAGATAACAAAATGCCTTCCCACAATCTCTTAATTGGCAAGAGAGCTTTTTCTGCCAGAGCAGCTGAATGTCTGAACTTGGTCAGAAACAAGGCCAGGAATAGATAAGCTTCCTGGAGTTTTTTTTTCTCATAAGCAGAACTGTTAATGATCAGGTTATCGGTGTCATCATGAAACCAGTATGGAGTAACCCCGAATCCTGGATGGCCATTTACAATGTGCTGCCAATTTTTAGTCTTGGTAATTGAAATGCCTGGTTTCTCTCATTTCTTCAAAGCCCCAAACATTGCTCCTTTCAATTAAGCCCTTTAGTATTAACTCCCTGCTAGTACAGAGAAGAGCGAGGGGCTGAGCTGGGTTTTGAATGGTCCGATATTTGCCCTTTCGGAAATGCCACCGCATATAATTATGCCATCTTCTGCCTTCTCCGCAGAGCACTTCCCTCCGGCGATGCGTTCTGCCTTCGCCGCGGGCTACTGAAGCTTCTGCCTGAGCGGTTTAGGATGCAACCAGATCCCCACGGCGCAAAATGCAGCGAGAAGTCTAGCAGTCTGATGATTCACAGAGGGCCCCGTTCCAGCTCTTACGGCAAAGCCAGGGACCCATCCCAGTGCTTGCAGGGGTACCCTGTTCAGCCCCACTGCGAGAGTTTCTGCCCATCATGGAAAGGCAGGAAAAGAGGGGGGTGGGAGAAAAGCAGGTTTGCATTAAAACTAGCAGCCAAGTTTACTCATCTTAAGCCCCGAATTGCTGACTGGCTGCACTGCTTGTGACACGGACGGGCCATGTGGCAGGATGGTAAAGCTCTCTTCCATCATGCTTTACATCGCTGCTTTGTTATGGGGGCTGTTTCCTTTGAACTCCGATCCCGTCGGGACGTGCATCCAGCAGTTCAGCCGTGAGAGTTCAGCCTGTCGTCTTCGTTTTGCCACCTGACGCCACGTTGCCTTTTGTTAGCTGCCTGCGTGTTAAATGCTGGGCCGGTGACAGTCTGCCTGGAGCCTCGTGATTGATCCCCTCGGAATTAAATTTGGCCGAATAGTGCGAAAGCCCATTAGGAGAAATATCTAATTCTCAGATGCTAAGCGTTTAGGCTCTGAATGCATTAATTATTCCTAACGTCATGTTGCATGTTGAGCTGCTTCTAATCGTATCAGGAGATGAGGCAGCAATGGCTTTGGAAGCAATGGGCCTGCTGAAGCATAGAGCTTGTCCACAGTAGCTGATTAATTAAAGCATTTGTATGAAATGGTGCATTAATTATTTTTTATATCAAAAAATATAGAGCCCCTCTGCCTAACTGGAGGCAGACCAGATGCTCAGGGTGCGCTTGGGTCTGTGTGTATTTGCAATTTGATGAAAGGCAGGAAATGGGGAAAACTGGCAAATCTCCCTGGCTTGATAACCGGAGCTTCTCGCCTTTTGCCATAGTGCGTTTTTCATGCTGCTGTGACTACGTGGAAATTCAGACTCGAACCTGGAGCCGGTTGTGGACATTGTTAGCGTGTTTTGAAGCAATGGCTACCAAGACAGGAGGAAGTTTTGGGAGAGGCAGCAGCAGCACAGTGTCTTAGCTGGTCCCACTGGGCTTTTCCTTGCTTCTGTACCGGCAGGCCTGGTACTGCCTTTGACTGCATGAATTGGATCCACTGGGTTTCTACCCTGTCGTGTGAGCGCCGAATCTCACCCCCAAACTTAAAAACACACACAGCGTGTTGTAAGGAATCATTTTATCTTTGTAAGCAGATGCAACCAGCCTGGTGTATCTGAGCTCTTTTTAATCCAAACTCCCTCTGATCCATTCCCCAGGGCAAATCATGCCCAGCAGTTTCCCTGCTTTTGCAGTTTCCTCCCTTTGCTCCGCTTCTGAGCGTGCTTGATGTTTTTGCCCTGCTACGGAGACGCGTGCTTGTCCCACGCGCCTTTTTTGGGCTTTTCCTTCGTGATCCGTGCTTCTCTGTGGTGCACCCTGAACACGGGTGAGCTGAACTCGAGCACAGCAGCGTTTGCGCTGTCGTGGCCGCATTACATTTACGCCCACTGTGGGCCTACCCCCATACAACCTAGCAGCTCATCCCTGCCCCAAAGGCCTCAATCCATTAAGAAGGGTACCATAATAGTGTGGCTGCTTTTCGTAGCTCCCTGTAATGGGGCATCATCAGATTATACCATATTTTCTTATATATATACGCAGCTTTTCCCCGCAAATCTCCACTCCAGACTGGGGGGTAATTAGGTAGAGAAGGTAATTTTCTGCCTGGAGTTGAAAGCAACCTGGTCTGAAGCCTGCTCTACAGGGCAGCAGCTGTGATATTGCTGTTTGGGCAGGTGAGGGAGTCAAATGACTTATTAGCTCCTTGTTCGTCACCCTATAGGTGTTAATGATCATCCCTCTTTTTTAATGGTCTTAATGTACCACTCATCAAGCTAACCTTTCTTAGGGCAGTTTTGCTGTCTGTTAGCTGCTTCTGGTCTTTCACAGCCTCCTTAGCTCAGGCTCCTTAGCTGTTTAGCACAGGCACTTTCACTCTTCAAAACCAAAGGTCCACTCACGGAAAACAGTCTTCAGCAGCAGCTAGGGATTCAGCTTTAGTTATGCAGGAAAGGGAGCATGAGTCAGCTGACACTAAGGCTCTGTTCTGTGCAGCCAGAACTCTGGAAAACTCTTTACTTCTTCATTCTGCCGTTCAAAAAACCAGGTGCATATTATATTTGGAGGGGTATTGTATGCAAAAAAATATGATAACGAACTTTATTTTACTTTGTTAGCGAAGTTATGCTATCGGTATCGTAAAGGAACTTTGCATCCGGAGCTTTCTGCTCACGCTGACAGCTGTATTGGCTGTATCCTCAGCTCACATCCATCTCAGAAACTCCACTGAAGTCAATGCGTATAGGTTGGTTTAAAATATTTGAGGGTCTGACCTTTATATCTCATCATCAGGGATCGTGGTTTTCTCTGATTAAAAAAAAATCCCCAATTTTCAGATTTAAAAAAGTTCGCCACTATCCATATGTTTCTGTGGTTAAAATGAAACACCTCTATCTATCTATCTATCTATCTATCTATCTATCACTACTAGTGATACTACTAATCTATCTAGATATAGATATATTACATCTATCTATCTAGCTATTAGATCTAATATATCTATCTATATCTAGATAGATAGATCAGTAGTATTACTCTTTCTAGATAGATATATAGATCTACTATCTAGTTAGCTAGCTAGATATATTAGTAATGTTTAATTTTAATCACAGAAAAATGTGGATTTGGGGCTACTTTTTCAAATCCAAAAATTGTGTTGTTTTTTTTTAATCGGAGAAAACCAGGATCCCTGATCATTATTTAATAGCCTGAAGGAAGTTTACTTCTTAATGTAGGAGGTGGCAATGAGTTCTGTATCCCAAGACTTTTATCCATCTGATTCGTCCTAAGACCCTCCAAGGCTGACTATGGAAGTATGGCTCCCCTCTCCCCCATGGAAGACGCACACATTGAATTAGAAAAATGCTTGAGAAGAGCTGGGGTTTTGCCAAGGGTGCCTTGCCAGAAGTGGTTTTATCCCGAGTTCAGTACCTGAGCTCTCACGGTTGGCATAAAACTCACAAGCGGACCTTTTTCTTTGTGATTTGCAGGAAGATCTGCCTCCACTGTAAGTGCCCGCAGGAAGAGCACGCTGTAACAGTTATGCCTCTGGAGATGGAGAAGACTGTGACGAAGCTCATGTTTGACTTTCAGAGGAACTCGACTTCTGACGACGACTCCGGCTGTGCCTTGGAAGAGTACGCATGGGTGCCTCCAGGGCTGAAACCAGAGCAGGTAAACATTTGATTTAAAATGCAGTTACTGCCTTGCCTTTAGAAGCCAGTGGCCTGTTTTCTCTAGACCTCGTGTAATGGGAGGATCTGTTTGCATGCAGGAGGCTGTTCGGACACTCGGGGTCTTTGTGCTGCGCAGAGTATGTGGCTTGGTTAAACATGTAAGACAAAGCTGGGTCTCGAGCTGTGTGGAGACATGTTTTTATGTGTGTGTAGTCATAACTTGTAGTGAGGACAAAAGCTGAACTGCGTAGAAGATGGAGCTCAATCCATTTATGAAAGGGGTGATATGACACAGCTGCATCAGAGACCGGCTGACCAGGAAAGTCCCTTCCAAATTGTTGCCTAACTTTTCTGTAGTTTCTCCTGTTCCTGCAAAATTGAATCCTTATCTCACGACACAGAAAGACACAAGCTAATTGTCTGCCTTCTCAGGAGTGTGATCAGCGGAGCACACAAGTACGTGGCACTTCCAAATTTCAGCCCATCTCCCCTTGTTTTTCCCGTTGGGAGTTTGGTTTCTCAGACCCAACTGTCTGCAACTTTCCGTGGGGGAGGGAATCGCTCAAATTGCTCAAGTGAAGCTTGCATATTGCTGTTCATGGCATTAAGAGAGCAGATGCACCTTAGCATGCTGTCTGTACATTTGTCGTGATGCTTGCCATTATTCAATGCGTTTAGTCTTTATGCTGATCTTTTACATTTTAGACTCAGGGCCGAATGTCCAAAGGAGATTGCAAAATGAGGTTAGCCTTGATAATTGCTATGGTGATCGTTTTCAAGTAAGGAGGTTGGAAAAGGGCAGAAAGTTTTCATTCTTGTTGTTATAATAACTCTGTTTTCCTGAGCTTTATTCAGAAAGGCTTAGGCATTTCCTGAAATATTTTGGCACCACCCACAGGCTGTAAATATTATCTGTCTGATTAGAGAAAATCCAGTTGCCTTTTCTTCCCCTGTCACTGGGAACATTGCAGCAATGCTCAGTCCTTGCATAAAAGCACCCTGGTACTTTAGGGTTCATTTACTGCCACCTGGCCAGGCTCATTCGAATACAGTCTTTCTTTCTGTTGACTTTCACAAGTTGTCCTCTGAGAGACAGCGTTAAGGACTCGTGGTAGAGGTGATATCTTTTATTAGACCAGCTAGATTTTTGCAAAAAAACCCCAAAAACTTTAATTGCAAGCTTTTGGGTGCAAACCCCCTTCATCAGGCATCGGAGAAAAGATTGTAAAAGTTCTCCTGGGTAGAAATGAAAGTTCATGTTTCATATTTCCTGTTTGGAAAAGTTCATAATCCAACTTTTCTCTGAGCCTATAAATGAACTTTTCCAAACTTTTCCAAACAGGAGATTTTACCACCTTCAGATCTCCTATGAAACATGAACTTTCATTTCTACCCAGGAGAACTTTTACAATCTTTTCTCCGATGCCTGATGAAGGGGGTTTGCACCCAAAAGCTTGCAATTAAAGACTTTTTTTTTTTTTTGCAAAAATCTAGCTGGTCTAATAAAAGATATCACCTCTACCACGAGTCCTGGATGCTTTTTCCTCTAGACCAACATGGCTACAACCTGGATACTCTGAGACAGAGCATTCACAAGGAAGAGAAACCGGTCTTCAATACGAGGCCAGTGCGCACTCTCCAAGAGACCCTGATGTGGGTCCCTCATTTGAAGTCAGATGTTATTTCCTCTCTGCTTCACAGCAGAGGCCTCTCAAGAAATCAGGAAGCAGCATGGAGCATTTGTTGAGGCTCTTCCAAAAAAAGCAGTCTCAAAATACTGCTAGTAGATACTGAACTGCTAAATATTACCCTGGGTTAATCCATTTCCTGGCGCATATCTTCCAGCTTGCTCTTCTTCCAGAGGTCACTCCGCTTCTACATATGAATATTAGCTTTTTAATTACACTTCCCAGTCTGCCTTCCTAGATCTTCAGATTGACAGATTTGCCACTCCAAGTTTGGGTGTAGTCACCACGGAGACAAAGCAACAGGATAGTAGTGTGAGCACACAGCCTGGTACTGTAGATTTGACTTGCAGCTGCTCAGTTAGACACTTCAGCCTTGTTAGGACCCATGTTTGGACCTCTCCCCTATCCTGGGAGCTTCCAAGGGTCCCAGAGTCAAGCCTTTGACTCCTCTCTACTGCACAAAATCTATTTGGGATGGGTCAGAAAATGACTTTAGAGATCCCCTGATTCCTATTGTTGACCCCAATCTGCTTCCAAAGGTCCATACTGTGGTCTGTAGTAAATGGACGACAAAGAGAAGTGAAGCAAAAGATCCATTTGCCCAGTAAAGACCACAAATTGCTCAGTTAGAGAAGTCTTGTCTCTTCAGCCAGTTTCTGGCAAGGAAGTTATTCCAGGTTATGAATCAGGGGTGTTGGTGGGGTATAGCCCCTTGCAAATCTGATCTCCCTTGTAGCTCCCCAGGCCATTAAACCAGCTGCTGGCCACACTTGGGTCAGGTCTGAATGCACCACTATGACTGGAACAACTGCACTAAGCCACAGACTTGAGAGCAATGAAAACTTCTGCACAGGTTTTTTTTGTCCTTCATTGTTATTTTCCCATAGGATTTCTTTAAATGGACCGGCTTGTCATAGCTTAAGTGGAGCTAATTTATTAAAATGTCTTTAAAAAAAAAAAAAAAAAAAAAAGCGTGAGTAAAATGGGAGATCAATCCCTTGAAACGCTAATGACTTCGTGATGTGGTTGTAAGACAGAGCCCTTATCTCAGCTGGACATAATAATTGAATAGATATCAGAGGAGAAGTTGTTCAGCATCTTCAGTTCATTATCAATGACTTTTTTTTAAACTGCTTCTTCTGTCTAAGATAGCCATCGGTTTCATATTTCTTCTTTATTCCTTTGCTCCTCGTTAGATCTAATAATTGCAAGAAAAGAACAGCTCCATTTTCCTTTGTCATTGGTAGATGTCATTGTAACAAATATGGGGTCATGTCCACACAATCCAGAAGTGTCCTGTCCACAGATATATCAGAGATGTCTTGGCAGGTTCAGGATGTCATATTAGGACTCTGATGGTCCCTCCCCCCCTAAAATGTACAACTTAGGCACTTCTAAGCGGGTTTTGACCCCTTCATTCTGAGAATGTGTTGTGTCCCTTCTTGCTTGTTCGGATATCGTCAGCTGGGAAATTGAAAGTATAGTCTGTGTGCAAATCATGTGTTAGCAACTTTTGGAGAGTAATAAAGCACATTGGTCAAGGGCTTTATATATAATGATGATAGGAATTGTATTGACCACCTGGGTTAAAATTGCATGACAGCTTATCCACATATCAGACTACCAAGTCTTTTATAAACTGAGGATTATGTAGCTTTGGCTGTGCTGAGAGCCTGAACTCATATGGTGGAACGGCTTACATGTTTCAACTGTAAAAGAAGGATGTGTTGACAAGATAGTGGGATGGAAATGCAAATGCAGTAGTATTAAGAGGTGTCAGCTGGCATTTCCAATAGCAATAAGAAAGCATCGATACTGGAAGTACCGGTTAGTAAGGCCGTACATGGGATGTCGTGTCCCGTTGTGGTCATGCATGTTTGAGACAGATGAAGTCAGACGGGAAGAGGGGCAGAACAGAGCTACCAGGCTGAAATCTGGTTTGAATTTGGCGGGTCTGGGATCAAAGCCTCTTACAAGAACACAAATCTGAAAAATGTCGTGTGACAGCAGAAGAGCTTCTCTCTCCGATGATGGGAAACAGAGCTAGGTGTGAGGAGGACGTGGTATCAGCGGGGAGGAGCAGTCCAAGAGACGGGGCTCGCAGAGCACTCACTTGTTGCTTTTCTGCCGTCCATTGCCCATGTGTAGAGCTGAGGGTTACGGTTTTAAAATGAGTAGAGACAACCTCACCCGTATAACAAGTCACGTGGAACTGCAGACCCAGGCTCTGTGTTCGCTCAGGAAGGCAGTGTCGGGAGCCAAAATCCGGTGCTGGAGCTGGTGCTTTTCCAGCCAATCCTCCCTGCAGCTCTGTCAGATCTGGGGAGCCCACGTTTCAAACCGAACTTCTGCAATGTGTTTGCCCCGTTCTGGGATGTCACGAGCGGGCGTACGCACAGGGAGATGTGCATTTGGAAGCTCCCCGTGGCAATGGCTCGTTTGCTAGAAGGTTAAAACATCTGGACTTGAATTTCTGAAGCCGTGGGATGGCAAGGTGGGAGACCCACTGGTTCTGAACAGCTTCAGACCCTCCAAGGCTTGTGCTGAGGTTTGCTTTGAATGCTACGTTTTACAGGCTAAGGTACAGAGGGGTCTGAAAGGTCCATCAAAGCCATGGCAGGATCATAAGGAGGACTTCCTGACCTCCATGAAGTAAGAGACTTTTGATGGGTGCATTCTTCAAACCGAGCAGTTCAGGCTTAATTTGCCCTGTCTGGCATCTTCCAAAGTGGTTTCCTGTCATTTCCAGACTCCAGCTTCCCCATCCATGCCATAAAAATGTAATCCCCTCTTCCTAGCAGCAGAGTTGATCAGGATGAGTCCTTTAAACATTATAAAAAATATAATCTAAGGTAATACCGGTGGGACTGAGGTTCAGGGGACCAACGCATGTACTACGATCTGAGCCTTTAAAAGCTTTATGACATGGTAAGAAAGAAACTAGCAGGGCCTTAAGTCTCACCAGTATTACCTTGGATGATACTTTTTATAATGTTTAAGGGACTCATCCTGCGAAACTTTGCTGCTAACAAGAGGGGGGATTACGTTTTTATGGCATGGATGGGGAAGCTCGAGTATGTATACACCTGGCAGCCGTGCACCTGTCCCGTACCGTGCGACTGGAGTTGGAGAGAAGGACTCGAGCGCCAGAGGCACGGGATTATACGCACGCCCTATGACAGTGGCTTAGCGGAGTTTTAAATAGCAACAAACACTCGTGGATCCTTTCATCGGGTCCTGTCCCAACAAGCGACGTGTTAGTTCTTCGTCTCCAGGCTGGACGTGACCTCCTGAGGTCCCTTCCCACCCT